ACGAACGCGATCTCGGGCGCGAACGAGGCCGCGGCCACTGATGCCGTCAGGAGAGCCGTCCACGTGGCGGTGTAGGCGATCAACGGTCGCCGGCGTCGGAGGAGGGAGAGGAGAGAGAGGATCATTGTAGGGTTTGTTTTTAGAGAGAGAGAGAAAGAGAGAGTGTGTGATTTTATAGAGAGAGGAGGTTATTATTACAGTTGGGTTGGTGACCGGAGTTTTGAGAACGAGGGGATGATTCTTCAAGTTCCGTATTGAATGACGAAAATGCCCTTCGGATTTGGCATCATCAGTCTGCGACTTGCCGTTTGAAAAATTTTGGTGCGGGTTGTACACGAAAGATGATGAGTCAAAAGTTTTTTCCCGTTTTGCACTTATATACCCTCACTTATTTTTGTCGGGACCTATATTAGCTTGAAGCATCTCGTTGTACTTTAATATCTTATGTTATAAATGAACTTTAACAATTTTATCTCGAACTTCCCCATGTTGCGTTCACAACCTAATTTTACAAGTTGAATTTACTGCCTCTTTGTAGGGAGGTTTGGATGCTTTTTATGTTTATTTGTGGGGTTAATCAGCACTCCCACTCATATATGATGTTCGGTCTTCATGGCATGGAGATCATATGCATAACGATGGTAAGAATTTTTGTTGTATCAGTAGCGCGACAATCTCTTGGTTTACATGGATCGAACGTAACGATAGAATTTTGAACAATTTGATTTTTGATTATTCTCAAGAACTTTAAAAATGCATTGCTAATGTTCGTGTATGGTGTACCAATATTTTAGGAGCAGTTAGAGGCAGAACAGGCATGCTTATTTAGCAAATGGTTAGAGCGTGTCATATTTCAGATGATGACACTGCTATGATAGATAGTTAGGTGGAGGATATCGATATTAGACATCTGGTTAGCATCTGTTTAGCAGGCATTGGTTGAATTAAGTGTATCACCTATTTCGCCCCCTTCTCCTTCCCTAGATGATTTTTTGTAAACTTCTTATTCTTTTCCCCTCCTTCGTATTACCTCTACTTTTTTTTGTATGTTTATAATACTTGTTTTGTTTGAGTAGTTTCGTTTAACAATTGTCGACGAAAAAAGGAGGTGTTACCCACAATTTCACTCCAAAAAAAAGGGGGGGAAAGGGGGAAAAATATACACATCATAGATGGGCTGGGAAAACATTTGTCCAATTTGTACAAAGCACCAGATCACAACAATTACTTTTGAATATTAAGTAGGTACTAAGCGTTGGATATAATAATTTGACGTGGTAGTATATGAAAACTTCAGATTAAATTGCAAAAGGCATGTGGATGTTTTCTTCTTTTTTTATTTTTTTATTTTTTTCCCAATGCGGGGGGTGGGGGACCTTAACCCGGAGACGAGGCAGTGTACTTTTAAGAAAGAAATTGCAAGAATAAAAATGACACAGAAAGCTACATCAACCTTAGGAAAAGAATGAGAGTTTTATAAGTCACACCTTCATCCTCAACATAAACAGGTAGGTGTCCAAACTTCTTACAAACAAAGCCGAGTCAAAACAGAAACCAACCAACAACAAATTTTCCCAGCAACTAAAAAAACAAAAACAAACCTGTGGTACTTCATTTCTCATGACCAGGGTCCGAAATGTTATCTCCATAGAAAGACGATTATATCACGCAATGATCGAAGCAATGATCGAAGGTGATGCTGAGGATGGTCTCTCAACAAGGAGGGTGAAGATATGAGGACCGCGACGACCACCTTTACTATCAAACATGATTTGGAAAGATATGCGAGGGGCTCATGAAGAGCACAACATCCATCGCGCTACATTGCCACAGCCTCGTCTGCCCAAAGGCTGCTTCCTGTTGCATCACATTAAGGGCTGCATCAGATACCCATCTCTCAAATCTCTCACATTTTTAAATTATTCCCCCAAAATTATTTAGCCTCCCAATTAAATGAGAACCTTTAATCAAGGATTCCAGCGTGAAACTGTGCATTGCTAACGGAACGAGGAGAATATATATGTATAGGGTTAATTGACCCGCTGCGGTAGGTTTTCTGAGCTAGGTATCCTTCTAGTTTTATTTTTGCTGTTTTTGCGAAGAGGAAAAATAAAACAACTTCTTTTTTTCTCCGGGGTAAAAGAGTTAAAACATATCTCAGAGGTCCATCTGCAAATATAAAACCGAAGGGCTAGCAAGTTTGAAGCAACAGTCCTAGAGGTGGACTATCCACTATTCTCCCCTAATGTAAAACTACTACAAAAGCTACCATAAGTAGTAGGTTACTGGATCGAGTAGCAATGCGCTTCAAATTCAGTCGATACGTCAGTCAGAAAACATTACCATGTCACGCCCAAAGAGCGTCCCGAGCAATACGTTTAGCTGTGTATTGAATGTTCCGTTCGCCAACACCCCACGAGGCAGCCATAACAAGCGGACGAACTGTCTCAAGAATTCCGCAATTTAAGCTGCAGAACATAAAATGAACAAAAAAGGTAAGGCAAACATTATGAATATACTATTTGACGAAGTATATTTCAGGGGCAAAGTAAAACTTGAATAGTCCAGAGATACCCTGCAAAAGGTCATGTGAATTTACTTACATCCATTATTTTTTGCTTGGACAAAGGGAATCTGAATATACTGCTCCTTTGTTGCGTCATCTTAAAACTAGCCATGGGTAAAAATAGTTCTCCGGTGTATATCCCAAAATCTTGGGTGTTTTTAAAATTACCTCCTAAAATTACCTCCTAACATCATGACGCTGTAATTATTAGTTTACACCTCTTCTTCCTTGTTCCCACTTTTTCCTCCTTCAAAACATTCACAAAACAATCTCCCCCCATATTCCTCCTTCAAGCAAAGTCACTGGGACTCTCTGGGTGTTGGGGGATCCAAACAAAGTTTGCACCTCTGAATGTTGGGGGATTGGAGAAAGCCCAGCTTTTGTTCATGAGAGAACTTATAGAGAAACAAACCTGTAGCCGAAAAGAAACCACAGTATGACAAGTAGTTGAAGAAAAGCCCCACCAACGACTATACAAGCTACCAAAGAAAGGCTGGTGTATGCTACTGCCTGTGGTGCATTCTGCCATTCCCCGGCTGGTCCCAATGGCTCTCTGTTGTCGAGGGCAAGCTTCTAGTTCACATTTGATCGATTCGAACTCCAAATCCTAGAAAATTTAAATGATATAGATCACGGGTGAAAACAATAGAAGTAATGACGACAACGGCAAGCTTTTCGGATTGATATTTTCCAACTTAAAGGTGAAGAAAACGGGCATGGATTTCCAAGTACTGCAGAAAGAGTTTAGGGATCGAGAACTTCTCTAAAGACCCTTCTCTTCCCAGCCACCACTAAGGTTTCATTAGGAATTAAGTTGGTTAAGTACAACATATAGGGAACTTCGAGTTGGTTTTTTTGGTGAAATCTGCAAAACAATTGTATCTCCAAATTGAGTGTGGTTCAATCCTTCAATTTGTGAAAGGCAACTGGAAATATCATAAATGATAGCAAAAGATAAACATTTAGTTGGATTGGTAGGAAGAGAAGAAAACAGAATTAGAACTGTATGGCTAAGAGACTAAGATTCTATGCGACTTTGTAGACAAATTTCTGCATAATAATCCTAAGACCACAGCCTATAGCCCTCCATAATTACTCTAGGGGTAAGCACCTAGCATACGTGTTCACAACATTCATTGTGTATGTTTGTGCATGTGCGCATGCATGCGCGTGCATACCTACACATGCAACAAAGGAAATATGAGTTAAACTGAAAATGAACTAGAAAACAGTTGAACACACGAAATTGGGACAGCAAGAAATACATTCAGAGGAAAATCAGAAGCATGAAACAATCGAGAATTAGGGAATTCCATTAGTGAGCTCTGGAAATGATGACATCAGTGTAGGCCCTTCAACAGAAAGTTTGCCTACAGTTGCCTCTGCAGCACCAAGTATAGCCATTGCAACACCAACACCGGAGATACCAAGCGCTGGTGTTATGCTTCATGAATTCAGCCCTGAAATCAGAAAGGAATGGCTAACTGAGAAGGGAAAATAAGCAATAATTACTCGTCACAACCTTCAATGAACTGTACACAAACAAGCTGAGAATAATTTACCATACAAAGGCTTTTTGTAAGCCAGAATAAACAAAATTGGAATAATCGACCATATTTGTATCTCCAACAAGGAAGCAAAAACATATTTCATTATGTTAATAACAGACAAGCATTCAAGAGCAGTTTCCAACTTCTCATCTCTTCTGGATAAGAAGCGCGTCAAAATGGCACCCGATATCATACACCCAAGAAAGGAGATGAATAGAAGGTTTGTGCTTCCCCCTTCCTGCAGGGTATGAGATATGAAATTATTTGAGATTTTCATGGAGTATAAATCAATCTTCAAATATATTTAAACTAAAAGCTGAAATATAGCACCACTAGTTTTAGCAGAGTATCTTGACCAATCACAATCTATAGCACTCGAAGATGGTCTTCATGTGCGATGAAGACGAAGCATTACTATGTTATGGTAACTTACCCACAATTACACGTCATTTACAATATCAACCAATAAAAATTGGATTGTCTGAGATGCTTCAGAATTCCAGATACAAAAAATATGATCAAGCTGTACTGAATCATGCAAAATGAATGTAGTTACAAAAATGAGTAAACAGACTCTAGAATATTGGTGTCACAAATTAAACACCATTAGATCGCTCCATGGTAACCTAGGCAAAAAAAGTACAGAAATATAGAAGCATGGACGCTTCAAGTGAGACCCATGTCAACGGCAATATAGGCTGAAAACCAACATTTGCAAAATGTAAGGGTCTAACAGACACTAATGAAGTAACACTGATGAAGTACATAACTAATTTAAAAGAAAATAGTGAGGAACATAGGTTTGCAAACATGAGTTACATTACATAGAGACAAGAGAATACCCACAACACAAGAAAGCATTATAGGTTTCTAGAAAACAAGTATTTGAAAAGAAAAAAGAGAAAAAGCAAATAATTTAAAAATAAAAAATAGGAAAAGGAACCTCCAGTACGCATCTATTGATTCTCATGGTGAAAAGCTTTAAATAACATTCACAACATCAAAGAGAATAACCTACAGCAACCTAAAAGGCCCAAGAAAGTGCTTGAAGTTCACCTAGCATATATATATCAGGCAAACAGATTAAAATTAAAAAGCAGATCCCTTGTGCTACAATACTATTAACAGTGAAGCATATAGATAAAAGGGGCAGGAAATCATCTACACTAATGTTTACATATATGATAGATTCCCATAGCTCTTACAACAATTGTTTTTCAACCAAACACTGAATTTGTATTGAAAATGTTTTTCACTAAATAAAGTTGCGGATATCCAAACAATGGATTCAAAGTTGATTCTCTGCAACAAATGCTACATGCAAAAATTGTTGTTGCAACATTTAGTACAACTAATTCTTGCAGCAAACCAAACAGGCCCTAATTTAGGAAATTATAAACTACAAAAAACCATTGTAAGGAGCCTTCTCGGAGCCTAGAAGTACGAGTACCATATTGACGAATGAGACTGAACCAACGACCTCAGAAAACCAACTAATAATTCATTTCCCCGTCTATGACCTCGGAAAACCAAATAAATAATTCTTTTCACATTTAACAAGAGAGAAAATAAAGTTAAGATCAACAGCACTATGGGGCTGTTTGGATGCCTTTAGAAAACTAGAGTATTTATGACACAAAATAGAAAGTGGTTATCCACCTCACCACTTTCCATTAGAGTGTTTACATTGTTTGGTTAGGAATCTTTATGAATCCTAAAATAATAATATTACATTGTTTGGATAGTATAATGTAAACTAGAGTATTTATGACACAAAATGGAAAATGGTTATCCACCTCACCACTTTCCACAAGGTTTTAACTTTTTTATTATTTTTTGGGACACATTTATGACATTGTGTCAGATTTCAAACAAAATCACTCCTAATTTTGGTGATTTTGCTTTCGGTGACACCTCATCAAAAGGTGTAAGCTTTTCATGTAAAAGAGAAATTAAACAAACAATATAAAGTGATGAAAGCTGACATTGGGACCCACTTTTTTACACTTTTCATCCTTTTACATGGTAAAAACATACAACCAAACAGCCCCTATATACATAAGAATTTTAAAAGCTGCCAGATCATCTCACCTTTCCATCCACCGGCAGAAAGATTGAGACCAAATTGCCAACGACCAGAAAAGTTGTAAATTAAAAAGGAGAGTCGGCGACTGCCATTTTCAGTAAACTCTCAATAGGAAGAAAGGTTCGGGAAAGATTGCTTGTCACTGGTAAACTATTGAATCCTGTACCAGAGTGCTAGAAAATATAGCCACCATTGAAGTTACTGATTACTACTGTGCCTTCATGCAAATAGCAGTCTCTTGCATGGTTACGCGCAGCAGATGTAAGATATGTTGTCCCCTAAGAATCCAGCGAATGCTTCCCACTTACGTTGTCCCCTAAGAATCCAGCGAATGCATTTCAAGATTTAGAGGCAATAAACCTTATAGGCCCCCAACAAAAAATACATAAACAAAATAAAAGAAAGATGTGAATAGCTACACACCTGACTGACCCAAAATATAGATGAAGTGAAGCCAAGATACAAAAAACCCGCATTAGAATGTTTCCCACTTACGTCACAAGGGTTAACAATACAGGAAGCTGATATCAGCTTCTAATAATACTAAAAAAGAATAGCCTTTTCAGCGACTTCAAGTTGATAGGCTACCGAAGTTACCAGGTTTACAAATTACGTCAAGCTTAAGAGTGTTCAACCATCAAGAAAGTGAAATAAGCACTCATGTAAGAAAACCGCCCAGTGCACAAAAGCGAGACCATAAGCGCTGACAACCCTTATAACAACAAAGAAACTGAGAGGGGTTATCATGACAACTGAGATTATGAAAAACTCACCATGATGGCTTCAAGTCTGAAGCCATGAACAACTAAATGAACCAGAGCTCTTTTAGTTTCGAACCCCTGCACAACTGGAGCCACCGCCGAGGAAAATGCAAATGAAGTGAACAGGATATCCAAGGAAGTGGTTCCAAGGTCCCCCTCCTATAATTAACAAATAAAAATAAAAATTTTAATTAAAAAAATAAGACATTAGCCAGAACCAAATCTTGCAAATTCATCATCAATATCAAAATTGTTAAATCTAAAGATGTGAGCATCTTTTACATGGTTCTTGAATGAAGAACAGTCTCCAATCACCACAATCAAGAGGCAATTCTTCTTCTCATCGATCAAGATTCATCAGAACACCTTTTTTTTTAAATACTAGCCCAGAGATTCTAGCAAGCGAATAACCTCAAAAAACTGAGAACTCAACAAAGTATAATGGAAATATTGCTTTTAAACATCACAATCACATTGGCACAAATTAGATTCTTCTAAAGACCGAACCATTCAGAGAGAAACAAGAGGAGAAAAAGATGAGAGCAATTTCAGACGTAACCAATTAGTCTACAAACGAAACATAAAGGTCACGTCCTTCGATTTTGAAGGATAACCAACACAATAAATTACTTCTAATCCACAGAAATCACTCACTAATCAGGCATCGAGAGAAACAAAAAAGCGCGCTTTTCCCTTGATCCACGGCATAAAAGGAAATAATTACACTAGAGATAGCAACTAAACAGCGACAAAAAAAACAAGAAAAATACTAATCAAAAGAGGAAAACCCCTTGAGCCGCGCTAGGCCTAGGAGCTGGTGAACTTGGTGACGGCCTTGGTGCCCTCGGAGACGGCGTGCTTGGCGAGCTCTCCGGGGAGGACGAGGCGGACGGAGGTCTGGATCTCGCGGGAGGTAATGGTGGGCTTCTTGTTGTAGCGGGCCAGGCGTGAGGCCTCCTGGGCCAGCTTCTCGAAGATGTCGTTGATGAAGGAGTTCATGATGCCCATCGCCTTGCTGGAGATCCCGATGTCGGGGTGGACCTGCTTCAGGACCTTGAAGATGTAGATCTTGTACGTCTCCACGCTCTTCGCCTTCCTCTTC